GCCCTTCGACCATGGAGAACCCGATTCTCCTTATCTGTAAATGGACGGGGTTCAATGAATCTAGGGTCCCCGACAAACCCGGGGAAAATGGACAAGCATAATTTGATTCTCACAGAATAATCAATGAAATTCCCTTGATCCACCTGATTGTGTTTTCTCCTCTCAGGACATATGAATAAAAGACTGACAAGAACTAGCTATTGCTGAAACAGGACACAAAGACCAGACCACTGCACATCGATCTTCCTTCATCTGTGTCAGGACATTACATTTTCATCTCGGTCTCATCCGCGGCTTGACACCTGGGCCACTGAGCTTGGCCACAGCCATCGCCCTGCTGCGATGCAGGCACAGGAGAAAGGCAGACGCTCGTGCACACAGGTTCTGGGGCTGTTCCTGTTTTAGTGCTTTGTTTAGAGCTGCTACAGACATAGGGAGAATTATCAATAAGACAGGTAAGTAAAATAAAACAAATATTTTAAAGGTCAACCATTTGGAGATAAAAAAGTGCAAAGAAAGTGAGTGTATCCACTTAGAATCAAAATAATCACACGTGGGCTGCCCCGCCATCCCTGCAGGGGTGCCAGGCAGCAGGCATAGACCAAGGCCCCGATGCCAGGCCCTCGATTTCTGCTCCCGCCCCCTCGTCCCCACAGTCGGACGGGGCATCTCAGTGTCAAAAAGTGAGTAGAACAGCAGCTCACTGAGACCACTCGCATAGTATTTGCCCTCAACACCAATTAACGGGCTGTAATCCAAAATCAACTTGTTGGGTTGTGTGGGGGGAAGGGTCCATAAAACAAAAATGTCATGTTTTGCACTTTGGCCTTTATATGACAATTCTCTACAAGTCTGGGTGATAAAATCCAGTTAACCCCAGATAACAGAACACACACACACCAGCGAGCAACATTAAGGACCTGACTCTTTCTCAATCTAATGCCCAGGCGCGCCACACCACCAGCTGACCCCGAGGGGGAGCAGGTTCTGGCCATGCTCCCCAACACAGAGCTTGCTGGGCTAGACCCAGGGACCGGAGAGAGGGCAACAAAGAACCAGAGGCCCATGTTTAAAACAGCAAACCCAAGAGGACTTGTCCACTCATTAGGTAATTAACCCAGGAAGGGAACAGTCAGAAAGGAACCTAGGTATTCCATGTGGGGAATTTAATGTGGCTTCAAGCACACAAATGGTGGAAGAGCAGAAGAGCCACATGGGGAAGGGCAAGGCCACCAACTATTCCCCAGGTGGGGAGGGCGGAGGGAGGCAGTGGCATGACCAGAGCCCAGTAGCCCATGCCACCCAGCAGGAGCTGGGAGCAAGGGGGACAGCTTTGCAGGAGCTGGTACCTGGGAAGGAAGGGGCAGAGGGAGAGGTGCTCTGGATTCCATCTCGCACTCCAGCATCCAGGGTCAGAAACCAGAGGCCAATGAGTTCCCCCAACACCCAGCAGAGCAGAGCAAAGGTGGGGAACAGAGCTGAGAAAAGACAGGCAGGTGACCATCATGCCAACCTGGTAAGATCTGAGAGTGGCCTGCCCCTGAAGGGCTCCTGCACCGGGGTGCGGTGTCAAAAGACACCGGACATGGGACGCCTTCCCATGTCTCAGCGGTGGCTCAGCGGTGGAGCATCTGCCTTCGGCTCAGGGCGTGACCCCAGGGTCCTGGGATCAAATCCCGCATCAGGCTCCCTGCAGGGAGCCTGCTTCTGTCTCTGCCTCTCTCAGGAATAAACAAATAAAATCTTAAAAAAAAATTTGAAGAGACCAGACATGACTGGGAAAACACGGTGGCGGGAACACAGCATCTCCACTTAGCAAATGAGGGAAATCTGTTCTGGCTCTAGTTTCCGGCCGTCTACCGCCCCGGCCCCACCGCGTAGCTTCACTGGATTGCCGCAGAGCGCCCGCGAAGCCCCGGTAGGTCTCCCGTTAAATGAATCTGCAGAAGACGACGTGGCGTCCGCCTGGCCCTGGGCTACCGTGGCCCCGGGGCCAGCAGGCTGAGTGACCCGGGGACGCAGCGAGCGCCCTGGCGGGCTGGGCCCCGCTGAGCGGCCCCCTGTGAAGGAAGGAGGGTCCCGCGGGCGGCCACCGGCCATCGGCACTGCTCTGGGCTCGCAGCCTCAGACAGGGCAGCAGAGAAGGGCAGCCTGGCCCCGGGGACACCCGGGAGGACGGAGCGCCACATCCCGCGGCAAGGACGGGGACGGTCTCCCTGCGGTCGTCAGTAACCCGAGCGGGGCGAAGCAGGGCTAAGAGGAGGCGCCCCTATGAGCGGCGAGCGCCACGGCGGGGTCCTCCTGCCAGGCGGAGCAGCGGTCCCCGCAAAGGCAGTCAGCACAGAGGGGACCACGTGGGGTGGGGACCACATGCCAACCTGGAAACAAGGTGGACGAATTCAATCGAAAAAGTCCCCACGCACCTGAGAAGCCAAGACCCTGCACTGGTGAGAAACGATTCATGTTAAAGACGAGGAAACGCCCCGGAGGAGAAAGACAGCAGGTGCCCAGGCATGAGCTGAGACAGCCGCGCGGGGACTCAGAGCAGGACTGGCCAGTCAGCCCAGGTCCTGGCGAGTCAGCAGCACACCGGAAAACCAGGTGCAAGGGAGGTTCTGGGGGGAGCAAGCAGCCAGGGAGTTTCCAGGGAGAGCACCAAGGGAGATTCTGGAGGGAGTACCCAGGGAGGTTCTGGGGGGAGTACCCAGGGAGGTTCTGGGGGAAGCATCCAGAGAGGTTCCTGGGGAAGCAAGCACCCAGGGAGTTTCCGGGGGGAGCACTCAGGGAGGTTATGGGGGGACCTCCCAGGGAGGTTATCGGAGGGAGGACCAAAGAAGGTGAGACTCATACCCAAGTTTCCCTTTAGGGCTCTACAGACCCCTCGATGCAACCTTTGCTTCTCTGACCCCAGGTCTCCACCCTGGGTCCACTCAGGACCAATGGTACAGGACAGGGCACACTCATGCACACAGGTGCACATCTGTGAATGGACCTATGTGTCTAATAAAGTCTTCTGAAATTTGGAATTGCTGCCCATCAGTGATTTACTGTTAAGCACTTCTCCCTGGGATCTTGCATTTCTAAAAATACTGTTTGCTTTTTATTTAACACTGAACCTCCTGATGTTCCAGAATACAAAAATAGTGTCTTTTATTTTAAAAGCTTAGGAGAGAAACTAGCCATATTATTAGAAAAAGAAGATATACGCAGCTATAGTCTGTTCAAATATCAAGAGGTGTGACTTTTCAAATTCACATTTCAATCTTTATTTACATAAGACTTTTAGAAACAGTAGGAGTAAATATTAAATCACCCAAGCCTGGGTGAAATTTTATTGAGAGTAACTACAGATAAAGGGAAACTGATTTTTTAAAGTCAGTTTCTGAAATTTAGATAAAAAGAATATCGAGCACTAAGGAAAAAATGATGTATTTACATATCAATATAGGTTCTCTGCTCACAGATTCATTTCCTATGAAACAGAACAGAGGCAAGCTTGGGGAGTTACAAAGGAAGGAAAAATCCTAATCAAATAGAAACTGTTGTTCAAACAGAATATTAGCTAAAATGATCCAATCAGTTGCTTGAGCCAATTTTTTTTTTTCTTTAAGCCATTCATGCCAGAACACAACGTCTCAGAGCATTAAGAATCCATATTACGTTCCAAGTGTTTGCCTAACAGATGGGGGGATTTGAAAGATACATTCCATGGAAATGGGATGAGAACCAGGAAGGTTACCAGTTAGTAACCAGCATTAACACAATTTACTCATAATGAGGCCATATTTCTCAAGGTAAACATTATGGATTTGTATTCCAGGGCATGTCTGGCTGTTAAAGGAATCAATCTAAAATACAGTAAGTTCAAATTGCCAATCTTTGACTTCATCATTGTTTAGGGCTGCACCATGGAATGCAGCATAACATGCAGAAATTCTCCAGAAGATAAGCGTAAGAAAAGCATGCCTTCATTGAAGGAGTCAGACACTAAGCTCTGTTTTCATATTTCTCCAGTGACTTCAGATGATCAGAGGTTCACATGGGCAATAACTGGCACAGTGTTAGGTCTTCATTTGAAACAAAATCATTGCCTCTCATTGTAAAACACAGTAGCTTGCAATATGCCCATTCAAAATCTTAGAACTGGCCAACTCAACCTTTTGCTCATCAAAAACAGAGCGATACTTTTTTCTAAAATTCTTTAGGGGGAATCTAAGAAATGATCACATACACAGATACACACACACACACACACACACACACACAGACCCACATTCTCCTGGTTTCTATGTGACAGTTAAATGTAATTCTATTTTATTGCAATATTAAGAACCTAAATTTAAAATTAAAGAAACAAACAAGAATTACAGAGGTTATCAAAGACATTAACTTGTTCTTAGAATAAGTCCAAAATTAGTAACACAGGTATTACTTATTAGTATTAATAAATATTAATTACAGGTATTAGTAACTCGTGTATACTTTACAATATCCTGCCCAATATGGAAACTGAGAATCTAACTCTGGCCATGTTAGACCTCCTTTACTTTGAATTAATGGTGTGAACACTGCATTTCTCCTTCTGAAATCTGAGGTTTCTGTGAAGTTTACGGAACACAAAAACTAGCTCAAACAGGGAAATAAGAAAACAATGTCAATCCCTATTCGGATAATTAACTGAGGTCAAGGCTTCTCTCCAAGATGTCCTCAAATGACCTCTATTAACTGTATCCGGTGGCCTGTTCCCTTCCCTGAACCCTGTGTTAAGAAAAAATTTTAAGTGCATTTTCTTTTTTTTTTTTTCCAATCTCAAGCTGGAAACAAATCAGTTTGCACCCCAGCAGAACACCAAGAAAAGCTTAAATCAATCTGCACCTTTTTATTTACATCCCTCAGTCCTTAGAAATGTAATTGCCGTTTTTATTAACTTTGTTTTATGGATCTAATATTTAAGAACAAGTCTGTCTTTTATGTCACAGCAAGAAGGTTAATGCACTTACAGACTCCCCCGCCATACATCTCGGGCAAGGCTGGGCCCAGCTCCTTCCGTCGTTCTGAGGAATCTATTTAACAAATCACAGCCACAGATGCATCAGAACAGTGATTATTTACACTTTGTATTAAAATATTTAAATGGGTCATAGCTGGCCTGGTGGGAACAGGAACCTACCCCCACACGTGGCAGCCCCTCGCCGCTGCAGGACACGGGGGCACTGAGCTTCACAGGGGCTTGGCCCCACTCTGGCCCGGCTGCTTCTCCTCTCCTGCATGCCCGTTTCTGAAAGACACCAAACGTCACTTGAGGAGGCTCCTGGAGCACTCGGCACTAATTGGATTTGCCTTCTGCAAACTTCAGCTGCAAACACAGACCCCTGTGGAGCTGGATGAGTTTATAGGACGTTTGAGGGGTGACTTTAAACATCGTCTTTCAGGAACACGTTCCATCAGTTACATTTAACCTCATTATTTCTAGCAATGTTTGGGGTTTACCTCACTTTATAGATTTAATATAGACATTTTAAACAATTTTGGTCAAAACTCTTATAATAAACTATTGTGATATTGGAAATATACAAAACCTATCAATTTTGTTCGAGAAACTAGCTCTATGCTTCAACACATTTTGCCTAGTTTCGAGTTACATGCTTTCTTAATACAATATAAACAATTCACATGTAAGTAATTCTTTGTCTTACTGACACTGAAGAGCAAATTAATTTTACTTATTTTCAGGTTGCACACATGCTCCATAACTAATAACCTTTGGGAAAGTTAGCACTTGGTTTCTGCTTCCCTGTGAACCTTCTAAAGAAGATAAATCACAAAAACAATCCTCTAATGCTAAAGGAAAAAAATTTTTTTTCACTCTCAAAATACCAAGACTTTGAGCAGTCCCGGTGGCTCAGTGGATTAGCACCGCCTTCGGCCCAGGTTGTGATCCTGGAGACCTGGGATAGAGTCCCGTGTCAGGCTCCCTGCGTGGAGCCTACTTCTCCCTATGCCTGTGTCTCTGCATCTGTCTGTCTGTCTCTCTCTCTCTCTCTGTGTGCCTCTCATTAATAAATAGATAAAATCTTAAAAAAAAAAAAAAAGAAAAAAAAACAAGACTTTGAGCATTGTGAAGGGTAAGTGTTTTCAGGGACACAAAGTTGAGAAGTAGGAAGACGTCTGCAAGTGGTGGTGAAGTCCATCCGTTGTCCCCAGGCCGGCCTGCGGGCCCTGCTGCTGGACAGCTCCCACCAAGTCAGAAAACACAGCCCTTACACGGCAGCTCCCTCTGCTTCTCTGGTCTCCTGCAAACCATCGTCATGGTTTATACCAAATCTGTTTCTTATCTGTACTTATTTGTATTTTCTAAATTGACTTATCTTTTTTCTTTTTTTAATTACTGGATTCACTCAATATATCATGGGTTTAGAGTGCTAGTTTTACTGTCTTCACACATCTTAAAAGACTACACGGCATTTTGAGATTAAACTGGAAAATGCTGAACTTCATGCCGCCCCAGACCACTGAGAAGAATTTCTCAGGTCAGTGCTTGACCTCCTAGAGGCTGAAGATAAGGCAGGTGAGGCAGTCACTGCCTTTCTTATGGTTACCCCCAAACGAAACTACAAATTCTACCTCAAACCATGTCCCGGTCATAACATGAAGTCAGAGAATGTGAAATACAAAGAAAAAGGTAAGAGAAAAGCCACTAGGTCCTGGCATGTGCCCCTTGTGCCCCCACCTCACACCTGCCGTCATAAACTCCGGCGAGCCAGGCCAAGAGGAAAGTCAGAACAGAACAGAGACAGGCACAGTAAAGGGGTGAGAAGTCCATACAAACATGAAGAAACGCCAAAGCGCCTCTCTGTCCAATAAGTAAATAAAATCTAAAAAAGAAAGAAAAAAGAATATAAACTCTCAATTTCTATTTTCTGTAATTGTTATAAGTAGGATTTAAATTTTGTCAAAGGATTTTTTTCAGTATCTGGGTAGATAATTGTACATTTTTTCCTTAGGTTAAATAAATATTAATAGCCTTAATTTACCTATTTAAAGAAAAAGGTTCTTGATTGGGCTCACAGAACAAGACCCAATTGTATGCTGTATACAAGACACATACCTAAAGCAGTCATTCTAGAAAGGCTAAAAAAGTAAAAGGCTGGACAAAAGTAAATGAAACAAAAAGAGAGAAGCAGACCAAATAGAATTCAAGTCCCAAAGTGTAAAACACAAGAGGATGTATTTAATGTTAAAAGCCTCGGCCTGCAATGAAGAGATGATGCTCATGTACACCTAGGCACCAGGAAATACAATTACCATCTTTACGAAGCAGAAGTAACAGGACACCAAAGGAGATGTGTAGAGGCATATGTTAAAAATGGGAGATTGGGGATCCCTGGGTGGCGCAGCGGTTTGGCACCTGCCTTTGGCTCAGGGCGCGATCCTGGAGACCCAGGATCGAATCCCATATCGGGCTCCCGGTGCATGGAGCCTGCTTCTCCCTCTGCCTGTGTCTCTGCCTCTCTCTCTCTCTCTCTCTCTGTGACTATCATAAATAAATAAATTTAAAAAAAATTTAAAATGGGAGATTGAATACACCATCTCCATATAAGGCAGAGCAAGTGCACAAGAAATAAGTTAGGATCTAAGCAATGCCATCAACCAAGGTAGAGTTTATACATATATAGTGAAGTATACACTCCGATAATAGAGAACACATATTTTGCTCAAGAATTTATAGCACCTCCCTACAAATCATCATATATTAGGGCACAAAGAAAACATTAACAATTTCCATAAGATAGAAATACTGCAAATAATATTTTATGATCACAATGCAATAAAAGTAAACATTATTAACAACGACAACAACAAAACAGAAAGACACTTCCACTGGGATATTTAAAAATTCTATTACTGACTCTTAGTGAAAGAGGACAAACTAAAAGTATAGAATTTTTAAAAAAATAATTACGCAGAAAACACTACATATCAGAATCTATGGAATGCATTTACAAGCAGTAATCAGGGGGACCTGGGTGGCTCACCTGGGTAGTTGGGTCACCACCTGGGTGGTTGAATGTCTGCCTTTGGCTCAGGTTGTGATCCTGGGGTCCTGAGATCAAGTCCTGCATTGGGATCCCCGTAGGGAGCCTGCTTCTCCCTCTGCCTATGTCTTTGCCTCTCTCTCTGTGTGTCTCTCATAAGTAAATAAAATATTAAAAAAATAAAGCAATAATCAGAGAAAAATTCATTATATTAATATTTTTACCAATAAAAAAATGAAAAAATAAAATTACCCTGTCAAGAAGCCTTAGCTCATAAACACTAGCGAAAGAAGAACAGTGACCCAAAAGAAAATTCAAGAAAGAAACAACTGAGGGAAAAGCTGACTAAGGAGCGTAGGTTTTCCATTAAAAACAGCAGTGCTAACTAGTAATTCTAAGTCTTACGGGTTTTTTGCGGGAGTTGCGGTGGAAATTAGCAGGGTAGACAACCTACCAGCTACTTGATCAAGAAAAAAAGAGGAGAAAGCACAAATATATAAAATAAGAAATGACACAGGGAAGTGACCAATAAAACAAGAAATCTAAAAAATCCTAAGAGACTCCTTGTAGACCTCTATGCAAACAGACTTAACATGTCACTGACACGGACAACTTCCCAAGGAACTCAGAAGGTCATGACCAAGGCCGGACCCACTGTAGTTAGAGCTGAACCAGACGACAGCCAGAGAAGACAAAGGTTCCTAAGCAGACACCTCCCCAAGGAGCACCAGGACAGACAGCTTCACAGAGGCTTCTACCAAACTCTCAAGACCAGACAGTTCGGCGCTCTACAAAAACTGCTCCAGAGCACTGATGAGGATGGAAAGTCCCCAAGTCCTTTCATGAAGCAAGTGTAATGCTGATAACACCAGATAAAGAAGAACAAAGAAAAAAAACCATGGACCAGTATCCTTCACGAATATCAATGCAGAAATATTAAATAAAACACTAACAAACAGAATCTAGCACCACAGGAAGAAGTTACACACCATGACCAAGTAGGATTTTTTCCAGAAATGAAAGCTGGGTTCAATATTCGAAATCCAGTATCATTCCTCATATTAATTAACCTAAGGAAAAGATGTACAATTATCCACCCAGATACTGAAAAAAAATCCTTTGACAAAATTTAAATCCTACTTATAACAATTACAGAAAAAAGAAATTGAGAGTTTATATTCTTTTTTCTTTTCTTTTAGATTTTATTTATTTATTTGACAGAGAGAGAGCACGCACAAGCAGGGGGAGCAGCAAGCAGAGGGAGAAGCAGGATTCCAGCTGAGTGGAGAGCCTGATGCGGGGCTTGATCCCAGGACTGGGATCATGGCCTGAGCTAAAGGCAGACACTTAACTGACAGAGCCACCCAGATGCCCCAAGAGTTATATTCTTAACATGACAAAATATACATACTTTATTCCTAATGCCAATAGCTTTATTTAATGGGAAAAGAATGGTGGCATTTCCACTAAAATCAAAGCAAGGATGCATGGTCTCCATTTCTGCTTACCACTGCCCTACCCTAGAGGTATTACATTACCCTATATAATTACAAAAGATAAATCAAGCCGAGGCATAAGAATGGGTAAGGAAGTAAAACTATCACTATTTGTAGATGATATCGTAATATATATCTGGAAACCCCCAGAGAATCAATGATAAAACAACCCAAACAATAAAAGAATCAATTGAATAATAGGACACAAAGTTAACATACAAAAATTGCCTTGAAATATAAAATAATAAGATGTTAGAAAAAACCTCATTTTAGATAATTACAACAGGGAAGATTAAATGTTTAGGAATAAATTTAATAGGAATTGCACCCAACCTATACAAGGAGAATTTAAAACAGTCTTGCAAGATATGAAAGCAGAAATGAACAAATGAAAAGGAATCTCCTATTGTTAGTTAGGATGACTTAACATTAAAAAGATGACAGCTGTCCCTAAGTTAATTTATAAAGTCAATGTAATGCCAATAAAAATACCAAGGGACTACGGTACAGACTTACAAAAGTTGATACTAAAGGTCACGTGGAAAAACAAACATGCAAGAATAGCCAAGAAAACCCTGAGGGAATAAATCAGAATCTGTGGAATGCTTTTAAAGCAATAATCAGAAAAAAATTCATTATACTAATATTTTAACCAATAAAAATGAAAAAAATAAAATTAAGCCTACTGGACATTATACTATTAAGACTCTATAATTAGTAGACAAATAGGCAAATGGGACTCAATA